ACTTTTTTAAAAGTGAGATGAATATATACGAGATTTCTTTCGACAACAAAGTTGCGGCTACTGTTAATGCTGCTACCATAATCTGTTGTATGCATTCGTAATTAAAAGAAGTGTGAAATTTCAGATAGAAATTAGTAAAATAAATATGTAATTTCCATATCTAAGTTCATAAAAGTTAAGAAACCCAATTCTAAAGCATTAATAAGTACAAGTATTTAATAATTTGAATAATTTAATAATTTTTCTGATAAAAATTAATGTTTGAAAATTAAAATTATGCTGCATTTTTAAAGGTTTGAATAGTGACATTAAGATAAAAATTCATTATTTTCCCTTAATTTACATTTGTACTATAAATTATTTCAAACAGGTTTTAATAATGTTATTTTTAAGCGACACAAACTTTGAGTGCTCGTAAATTAAAATCATCATAAATGACAGATATAGCAACACCAAAATAGAAGTACTTGGCATGATATAACTATAAGTAATTCACTTTTGGAGATATAACAATAATCTTGTGCATAGTAAGCTACAAATCTCTCAAAATGCTGATAACTCAGAAGTGATTAATATAATCTACCTCCATTGATGTAACTTTGTCAACGACTAAGACTAAATTCCATTGAAAAAATCCGGCAACAAGCTATATAACTTTCCCAGCTATTATGAGATCTTATTTAGAAAATAACTTTTATAATTTTAATTACAATATAAATTTAATAAAATTGTATGTGGTGCCATATGTTAGAAGATTATTATAAAAAAAATTGTTTTTTTTTTTTTAAATAAATATTTTAAACTACTATAAAATGGCAAAAGGCTTAATTTTGAGAGTAGGGATGAGTTTTATAAAAAAGTATAAATGTTAACGAGTACAATCATCATTAAGTCCAACCCTACTGGAGATAAACATGACCGCCTTTATCTCCCAACCCCCACAACCTTTAATCACCAAAATTTAACAACATTGATGCCCCTCATACACAAATCACAGTGCCAAATTTCGTTCCTTAATCTTTACCCCATCCTAAGATATTAGTAAAAATAATGCCAACACACACAATTTTTTGCCTTTTTTTCTACTTCCTTGGATTTGGGTCTTAAAACGTGGAGATTTGCAAAAAACTTGGAGGCTCAAATTTGACACGATTCCAATACTTTCCCTTGTTACATACACATAACAGCCAGGAAAGTAAAACTGCAATCTAATTGAAATCACACTACCTTATAGCATAATTAGTGAAGATATACATCTTTTGCAGAATAAAATACTTATTTACAGATATAAAAAGTAAAGAAATTCTTTAAACTGTACTATAAAGACACACTGGAAAGAGATATATGACCCTCGTATTTATGATCCAATACGGAACTGAACCCAAGTTGACATTTAATGCCAAGTACCCATCCATCAGATAGGAGAAGGCTTGGACCTCAAATGAGCAGAAACTGACCACCACATAAATTTGATTCAGAATCAAATCTGAATATTCTGATACCACAGATCATCAAGGGTCCAAAAATCCTAGTAGTATATGTCAATTTTTATAATATAGCCTACTTTTCATTTTTGACTCTCCACCCATCGATACTAAGATGATCTTTTAATGGATTTAGTTGATTCCTGCAATGAAGATGACCAGATGGTGAGGGATGGATCACCTTCAAAAAATATGTAGGGTTTTTGACTGCTTGAAATTGATAGTGGGTCCTACCTTAACTACCTCAGCCATCAATATAGCCTACCCAACAAACAGAAATATTGGAAAGCAAGAATTTATTTACATACCTTTCTATTTTCATATTCTATTTACTTTCAACTTAATAATATTAATATTTATATTTTGTTAGCAATATAAATTCCCTAAAATTAAAATTAAATAAGCATAAAGTGTAGAGAGAATCTTTAAAACCTTATCTTAATAATAAATTACAAAATTAAAATACACTGATACAAAGAAATGATCAATTTTAGAAGTATTTTCAAATTTATAATACATACAGTTGAGTGTTTAAGAAACAGAATAAGAGCAGTTTTAATAATAATCTAATCCTGGTGCAAAAGAATCCTTTAATCGAGGTTAAAAGTCGTCCCTAAGGAAAAAAGATCATTTAATGAAGTAAAAATAAACAGTTTTTAAAAATTAAATTAAAATAAATTAAAGCAACTAGTGAATGAAATTAATATCTGCAAACAATACTATATAATCTTTTCTTATAAATATCATAAATTACAAGTCCTAGAACATTATGCCTAAGCAAGCAACATTATTTTTAGGCTGTGGGTTTGCCACCGATTTTCTGGCACCCTTTTAAATCTGAACAAAATTATGAGAGATGCTTAAAATTCTTGCTGCCGCCAGACTCGTTTGCCAAATGGTTACGGGTGGCAAACACTACAGTTATTGCTAATTCTTCCATTCAATTTTTAGCATGTTTTACTTATATTTAACTTTAGCAATGGCTTCTGAAAAGATTCAAGTATCTGTAACATCTATTATAAACACTACATTTAATGTATACTTAATTATGTTTCTACCAGTACTTAGACTTTAGAGATGTGGGTCATGTATAATTAGAAGTCTGGAACATACTGTCATATGAATGTACAGCAGGGTCTATATATATTACATAACCTAGGGTAATTTGACAACACTATTAGTCGGCCAAACCTTTAAACTGAGTACATCAAAAACCCGTCTGTTGGGCAAATTAATTGCATCAAGTTAAAATCAAAATAATTTCTTTCTAGGAGTCAACAATTCTTTATTAATTAAGATCCAAAACAGTGAACAGAGAACTGTGGGCTTCCCACTGTTTTGATTTTTTGCTTAATTAGTTGCAATGGAGTCAACACAAAACTAACAAAATGATTAATATGTATCTTACAGAAATATCACTAACTAACATTGATTACAGCTATTGATTATTGGATGCTGCAAATAACAAAACTGTCAGAGATTGTTTAATTGTTAAAAATTTTAATATTTTTATTATTCTTCTATTTATAATTTGATATAAATGAACTAAAAAAAGTTTGAAATTGTCAAGTAAACAACAATATGTCTTTGATCATTTATCATGTCCTATGAGTACAGTTTTATGATTTCTATTGAATGGTAAAGGCTGGTTTTCACTACAATGGAATCTGCAACATAAGCAACAAAGCAGAAATTTAGTAACCATCGAGACATTGGACCACAGTGAAAAACAGACATGCTTACAAGTTGAGTAAAATTTAGCTTTTACCATGATGGTAAATGGAAAAATTAAGTGCCAACTAATGTAAAAGTGTCATTTACATTGATGTTGTTGGACACCAAATTCATATCGTCCAACCTTTCCAATGTTATTTGATGGCACACCACAGTAACAAAAACAATGACTTCTGTTGTAGCTTACCAATGTGGAGCAGTCTTAAATGAGTACTGGCCTTAGAAGAATTAAGAAAAAAACAGTAAAATAGAAGCCTGGTAAGAGAACACTCAGGATCACTTATCAGGAAATCTTTTGATAGTCCATTATTTAGAAAGCTGTCCAATGAAACATTTTGCCAAATCTCAATAAATATCAGAGCAAAGCAAGCTCTGCTGCTATGCACTCTCTTACGTGGACTGCCATTAAAAATGCTGCCGATGCAGTGCTCCATTATATGGACTGCTCTACTATCCAGTCAAGAGTCCTGCTAATGTAAAACATGAAAAAAAAAATCAGGAACATGGAGGAGTGTTCTCCTAAGCTAACTTCTTCCTTATTCAGTGCTCTATTAAGTAAACTTGACTGTATAACATTTTAATATTTTCTTACTGTATTTTACTGATATGATTACACATTTCATATGAATAATATGAACTGTATAATCATAGCATCGAATTAAAAAAGGAAATTGAACAATAATCAATGACTATTTTAAGATCTCTTCATATTCAACATATAATGCACAATCTTATTTCTCAAGCTTAGGTTTGTAACAAGCTTAAGTATAAAGCAAGTCTTATTCTTATATAAAAATCACATTTATAAAATAACATTGCATCCAATAATATTACGCAATAAAGGATATTGCTTGCAGTGTATGAAATATGTAAAATAAATAAATGAATCGATACACACACAAAAGAAAACTAAAATACGCTAAGAAAATTATAAGTGCAATATGTCAATTGCTTGTATTTTATTCTACGTGTTTCTCTTCAGGTTGTTAAATGAAAGCAATCTGTAAATGCTGAAAGAAAATGTTACGTCACTGCCGACACACATTATGTAGTTAGGCCCATGATGGATGCATCCAAATTGAACATGTATGGACTTTCTTCAATTGTTATTACCCAAACAATACTGCATAATGCCTATTTACATAGTATTAGGTATTATAAGTAATACTAATACTGAATAGTATCCTCTACTATTAGGTTATATGCCATTTTATATAAGTAACTAGAGCATCCATGGGTGTCCTAGAACCAATCCCTCACAGATAGAGGTTTCTTTATAACAAGTGCTGACTAATAATAAAAGACTGTATCCAACATTGTCTTAACAATAATTTTATAAGTACAATATGGATATTTAAAAATAATATTTTGTATGTTTTACACAGTTTTACTGGTTAAGATTGCAGAAAACTATTAGATTTTCTCCAGTTTTTTGACAATATTTAAATATAATTTAGTAAAATATTAATATACGAAAACTAAAAAAACATTTGTTCGTATTGAATGTCTCCTTAAACAAATAAAAAGCAACATCAGAAATAGATATCAATAAAAGATATAGAATTAATCGGGCAGGAAAGGAGAGTAGACATATAAATAGATTTTTCAACTTAAGTTAAAAGTGGTAAAGGAAAATGAAAATAACAGAATTTATTTGGTATTAAATTAACTTTTAATAAATAAATAATTTGAATAAATAATCTATTATATTATAAATTACATCAGATTATATATTATATATATATAAAACAATATTTACAAAGTAAAATGTTAAACACTCACTACACTTGTTTCAGATATATTAGATTTACTACTAGTTACGGATGGAGGCTGATTATCTTCCACGTCCGCTTCATCGCCGGCACCTGCTGATTCTCCACTGTTGCTTCTTGCAACTTGTTGGGAAGTGTCTTTTAAAAATTGCTCAAGGAAAGACATTTGAGATGTATGACTATCCAAGACTGAAAGTTAAAAATAATTAAATAAATTCTAAACCTGAAAATATAATTTGAGAAAATTTGTTTTAATAACGCTTTAGATTATATAATCCATATTAGTTGTGAATTAAGAAAGTACACACCTGACAATAGTAAATGCTATGTTAAATTATTGCTGAAGACCCTAATTATTCTGCATTTCTTTTCTGTTTGCTATCTGTGTGTTCTGGTGCACTAATATTGCAGCAACATTAGCGCTTTTGGTTCTATTACCGAGACTATTGCAGCTGGTGGCAAAGTATTGCTAATGGCATGCAGTTCTGTTTCCGCTTCAGTTAAACAAATTGACAATGCTCACGGTTGATGCAAATAGGCTGAGAGAAACATTTTTCAAGTTAAAGTTGAAAGCACAGCAATTCAATTACAACACAGCAATTATTTTCAATAATTTTAATTATAAAAACAACATAAATGGAGTAAAGTTGTTTGATGAAACATGATATCCTCATTGTCATTAATAGATACAGCCACATTGTACATGTTAGTTGTAACCATAATGCAGAAGTAACAACACACTGTTTTTTTTAACACAGTAATACAGGGTCTTTATTGTGTTGTGATGATCACTAGTGCAGTAGTAGGTAGCTCCTTTCTTATGGAAAATGCAAGGTGCAAAGGCTACTAGAGTAGCCTCCTCTGTTTCAGGTGCCAGGAGAATCACACATTGCAATGTTTGCTAGCCACTGCAGCAGGTTGTGTGTACTGGAAGACACTATATTTCCTGACCCATGCATAAGCTAATATAATTGTGAATTGGTATTTTCTGTTATAGAATGCATTGTTCTAACTTTATGAATACTCGTAATGTTACAATTAAATGAAGCTCCCCATTATAAGCTTATATTATAAAATAAAAATTGCAATGATAGCAAATTATAGTTGTTTACTTATAATGGAGCCAATAAGATATAGCAAAACCTTAGTATCTCTTCATCAAACATAGCAATTAAAAAAACAAGAATTTTAACATTCTAACACAGACTTAGAATAATTCACAAATTGTTTAATAATGCTTATGAAAATACTTTGAACATATTAATATTCAATTACACAATACATTACACCTTAAACTGAACTGCTAAGTAATTACTTACAGCTATCTCCAGCAGCCAATCTATGTTGTAGTTCTCTGATTTGAGCATCTTTCTTCATAATATCTTTTTTAAATAATTCAGTCTTTTGTTGATTTTCAACAAGTTCCCTTAAAGATAAAATGAATATATTTATTTTGTGTTATTAGATAGATAAATTACATAATTAAATGTAATTTTAAGAAGAAAAAACAAGATATAAAATTCACCAAATTAAAATAAACAGAAAATAATTTACTTTTGCTGGGCCACAAGTTCGGCTCTAACTCTTGTAAGTTCATCGCTAATTGCTTGCTTGGCTTGGATTTCACTCTGCAAACTGGACTGTAAACTCAAGAGTTCCATTTTATCCAGCTTCTGTGATCTTCTATTCCTCCAATTCTTTTCCTGTAAAAGAAATTAAGCAAATGAAAATGTCAGAATTTCAATAAATTATAGATATATCTATTCAAATCTATATTCCTGTGGTATGTCCAGAGCTACATTTGAGATAAAACAGTATTAGATACAATTATACAAACATCATGAAACCCAATATATTAGTAATATGCCAAATGATGGCCATATTAAATCAAGCTACTTCTCAGCAATTATTTTTAATTAATTTCTAAATAAATTTTATAAAAGTCAATTTAATTATAATTACTAAACTTAATAAGAGATGGCCCCCTAATGCCTGACTCTAGTGACAAATATTTAGAAATTAAAAATAATCGAGGAGAAGTAGCCTGACTTAATATGGCAGTTGTTTGGAATATTAATGGATACAGTACAATGATTTTCAAAGTTATTAATCCAGGGACATCTATGCACCATCCACTTCTTATCCTGTATATATCAATTCAGATCATGAAAGAAATTATTATGGCACACAATCTATCCAGTATGTGATATGTAATGTTCTTTTCTCTGGATACAACAGCACAAAATTGCTGGAAAATGACTGTGGCGGACCACCAGTGGTTCGAGGATCATATTTTGAGAACCATCGGAGCTAGTAAACAATCTAAAACTGCTGTTTTTGGCAGCAAAAGAGAATTATTGCAAGAAGTGCATACTGTCTAATAACGACATGGATAATCTGCCAAGAGGAGGTATCTCCTCTTGTGAATTTTCTGTGAAAAACTGGCCCCCTATTTAGGTGTTAGACATGCAAGAACAACCTGCAGCCAACTACCAATGTTTGATGGTTTTGTCCACTGACCACCTATAGGCTCCGACGGAAAAAAGGAATTAGAAGATGCAATCATTAGAAAAAACTTGGAAACTATTTATCAAATAGTATTGACAGAAAACTAATCTTACATCAACTGTTAATTGCTGGTTTCAAGATCATAATGTCCCTTATCACACATCAATAAAGGTTTAAGAAGGAAAATATTGAAAATTTTATACCCACCTTCACAAAAATCTAAAACTTAATACCATAGAAAAATCCATTGGAAATATTGGCAAGACAGATTTATCCCAATAATTTTCAATTTTCAAATATGGATGAGTTAGAAGTCATCATTACAAAAGAATGGGACAGAATCAAGTCTAAAACTTCAAAAAACTGTGGATTTGATGCCAAGAATAATATTTATAATTCAACTTTCAACTCCTAACCGTTTGGGCTCTGCACTTATTATTATTATTATTATCATCATCAACCCGTCTCGATTATATATTAGATTATGCAGAAAGAAAATATAAAAGAAGCAAGTCTTAAAATTTCTTAAAAGACTTTAAATCATTTATTTTGTAAATTATATGCTATTACATTTTTGAATTATTAATTTTTTTATATATAATTCTTGATATAACATGCTTATATCAAGCACCATCAAACTTGATATAAGTATTTCATACCTTTATTCAAAAATTATATGCAGAGAAGGTGCAGAAAAATAAAATGATAAAAATTAATTAATAAATCCTTTTATGATGACCGATATATGTATTACAGACATTTGTAACATTTAGCTATATAATTTACCTTGTGTCTGAATGCACACAACCTGATTTGTTAATTTTGGTAATTTTAAAACAAATTGAATCTCAGCAGATATTTAAAACTTCTAGTACAATAAATCATCATTGCTAGTTTAATATATCAAACTAATCAGAGCTGACAATTTCATTAAAGTACTCACCAGTGTTGTAGACATTCCACTGATTTTCAGACTTTCCAGTTCTTCTGTCATTTTAGTAGCTAAGGCTTGTAAATATCCTCTTGCATCTTTTTCATCACTGACCCTAAATGCAACAATTGTATTAATTTCACAGTTTTGTATTTAAGAAACTAAACTACAAAAAACTATACACGAATATAGTTGGACTTCAAGGAAATGATACGTACTACTGATCAAATAATGAGCAGAGTTTATTATCAAACTACATTTTAGCTAACCAAACATACAAATGCCAAGTAATTTGGACCACAGGTAGGCAATTAAGATTAATCCAAAGACCAAAGTTTAGACTAACCTGCAACTCCTTACTGTGCAATTGTGTTGCCAATTACGCTATTTGGACTTCTGTCCAATCTTTGCTTCCAGACCAACTAACTTAGACGCTACCTTAAAGAATTATTGTCTCTCCCAATGTTAGATTAATATATTTAAATAGAAATTTTAACAATAATACATGAATTCACAAGCATTTTTGACAATAAAAAGTTCTGTCATCTTCAGACACAGATCTTTGAAGTTTGAATTGTTTTTCTGGACTGTTAAACTGTTTAACTATCCAGAAAAAGTATTCAAACTTCAAAGATTTGTGTCTGAACATGACAGAACTTTTCCTTGTTGAAAGTGCTTGCATATTTGTCTATTATTGTTAAAATTTTAATTTAAGTATACTAATTTACAGATTAATTCTTTTAATTAACCTTTCTGATGTACTGTACATGCAATTGGTTTCTTCATTTTGGGTGACATATTTAGAAAGTTGGAGAGGTTCAGATAGCATAACTGAGTCTGATTCTGAATTGATCTTTCCTTCCAGAATATTTTAAATTAATTAATTTACTTTGAGATGGCAACTTGATTGCCTACCTTTAGTTCAAATTATACAACATTTGTATATTTAATCGAATAATAAATCTGGCCTGTTATTCAGTTAGCAATGTAATTTGAACTCAGTTTCTGTATTAATTAAAATTTTCAATTAATTAAATTTCTTTAAAAACACTTTTAACAAAGTTCAAATTTAGTTAATATTAACAACTACTTCATCTAATTATGTTTATTTCCAAAAATTTTGAGTTCAAAACTGAAATTAAAATAGTAAATTTTTTGCTTAAACTCACTCCTGAAACTTTCAGACAACTTGTAAATGAAGAATTAGTAAGTAAGATTGATGAAAATCTAATCATTTTTCTAATTGTAGACTGCAATAAATGTCAATTTTCATTTTCAATTTTATATTTTCCAGTAAAAGTAGTAATTTTATATTCTCAATAAATATATAATTACAGTTTGTATTTACTTCAGGCTATACTAAATAAAGAAATAATGATATTACAAATATTTATCCGAATACTTTTGGCAGCGAGGCCAGCCTAACGATGATGCTAATGTACTTTATACTTCTATAACATTATGATGCCTTTTTAGTACCCCTTCCAATTTGGCATCTGAAGCAGTTGCCTCTCCTCATCTATTGGCAAGGTCCCAAACGTATGCAAAAGAATGCATGCAATATGAAAATGATTAATTTTTAAACTGTGAAACAAAGTGTATTTTACAACTGTGATAAATCAGAGATTCAAACTAAGTTAAGAAAAAGAAAAGCTAACAAATTGAAAGTATTTAGTTTGAAACTGTTTTAAAGATACTAACCATTGAATAATTTCACTGATTTGTGCTTCCCATTGAGCAATAGACTCACGTTTCTCTCTGACATTTATCAAATCATCTTCGATCCTTCTTCTTTCGTCCTGCTGTCTTTTGATGATTTGCGATAACTGAATATTAAAAAATTAAATCAATTTAAAATGAAAATTTAATTTCTTTACCTAGAACAGTGATGCCCAAACTTTTCAACTGGCTGACCAAATTGTGCATAAGTTGTAAGTACATGGGTCACAAATATTTTGTATTTTCTATATACACAAAAAGTAGGTCTATTAAATACTTGACACTTCCATGTTGCGGCGTTACAAATAGCGACTTGTTAAAATTCACATGTACTTGCAAGCACTTTCAATAGCTAGCTCTATAATCTATTGAAAGTGCTTACGAATACATGTGAATTTTAACAAGTCACTATTTGTAACGCTGCAACACGGAAGTGTCAAATATTTAATCTTTTAAAGCTGGCATAAAGTGTAATTTATTGTCAAGTAGGTCTATTTCTAACATTTATAAGATTTGACCCATGGACTGTAGTTTGGGTGCCACCAATCTAGAACTATATTATGAAAAAACTGTCATTCTAGATCAGTGTTTCTCAACCTCTAACAAATCGTCGCCCTCCTTCAATAAAACCATTACGTAGTATCGCCCCCTTCACTACAAAATTCTGATGCATTGAATAGACTATTGACTAGTATAATGTTATTTGTTTAATTATTGTACGATATAATGAATAAAATATCTAATTATTCTTAATATAATGTTTTACTATATCGCCCAGAAAATTGTTTTTCATCCCCAAAATATAAATTGTTACTAATCGCTCCCTCAACATGGAAAAACGACCACATGGGGGCAATATCGCCCCCGTTGAGAAACACTGTTCTAGATAAAACAATACCTGATCAATTTCTTGTACGAGCTTCCTATTCTCTTCATGTAACATATCTTTCTCTCTTTCGTGAGTTCGTTTAATTTCTATAATTAATTCTTGATGCTCAACAGCACTATAAAAAATAAATACATCAATATTTATTATGGAAAAAAATCTTAGTTTTAATTTAATTATTTAAATTAAATTAGTTAAAATTTAATCCCATTGCAGGCCCATTGTGGATTCGACCGGGCCTGCAATGGTAGGTTGCAATAAATAGGCCAACATCTTAACCACTTTCACCATCATATACAGTCGACCCCCCTATAATGTACGTTCCTATAACGACAATTCCTATAACGTAGCGAAAAAATTGTAGAAACATTTGTATAAAATACCTCCTATAACGTCGTTTTGTGACAAGATTGATAGTCTGGACCAATAGTGGATGAGCAGCCGAACTACTTTCCTCCGACCCTGCGCCACGCTACAAAGCGGCTAAATTGAGTTTGCTATCGTCTGTACAGTATTGTATATAAATTAGGTACTGTACATATAATTATATATTAATTATATATTAATTATATATAAATTAGGTACTGTATATATAATTATATATTAACTTAATTTATTGTAACTTTATTATAATTAAATATATACTTTCTGCCGCCTGGCAACACGCTACGGAGATTTTAGGCTAGTAAGTTGAGTTTATTATTGTAATTTTATACATTTCTTGTGAAAGAAACATTTC